CCACGAGGATCGTAAACGAACGAAGTGGCTGGTTTTACCCGTTCCTACTGCAAAATCAAGAGTTGGCGGAGCATCACTAATTGCCTTCAAACTATCTAATAATAAAACTATGTAAATCAACCCGGTCGTCCAGAGAGCAAAATTATATACAAAGACACAGAGACAAATCTTCGCTTCGCAAACACTAGAAAGAACACAAAAAGCAGCTCTATAAGATGCAATAAGAAAAAATAGAAATAAGCCTCGAATTAGTAGAAATTCGTCTGCGTCACGGATTTGATCTTCAAACTAGAGACTATAACTCACGCACTAACCACTCAGCCACGGACTCTTAATAGGTCACAAACACTAGCCGCAAATAAATCAGAGAACAGATGCTATGAAATTTCCAATGCTAAAAATCGTGATTATAGCAAAAGTGCCACTAAATAAGTGAACACTTATATTTGCGAGTTACGTTAGAAAAAGAGAAGGTTCGTACTAATACACTACGCTTCGCACGCTCGCAAGTCCAAAGAACCACTCACTCTTAATTGTTCCTGCATTCAGAGTCTCTTCAGCAACCTAACAGTCCGAAATATGGACGATAGACCCTCACTTCGATTTAAAATGGTCTCAACAACAAGGACTCTGGCGAAATTCATACCTGGTTAAAACTACAAAACGAGTACATACCAACCCAGCTGAGGCGACCAAAAAGGAGCCTAGCTAAACAACAAAAACAAAATGTACACATTGTATAGATTATACAGATATGACGTCGTGAGTTATATCATTAGTTGGACGTTGTATAACATCCTGGACGAGATGGGGCTACCCGAATGCTGATTGCACGGAAATTTTGATCGCTACCCGGCAAGAGCAATCAAACCCGTTTTTTCGTTTGATTCGAAAACTCACACGAACTTGGCTCAACACAAATATTGAAAACACAAATAAAGGAAAGTAACCTAATGATTACGATATGTAAACAGTAAGACTTCTTCCTTTTTTTTCTTCCTAAAACCATGTTAGTGGTTGGCAACTCAGTGGTTTCGGTGGGGAAATTAGGTTTGATCTTTTGATTCAGCCGTGAAAAGTTCTATTTAGCAGCCTTTATGATTTTTCGGAATGTAGCTTCTCCTTGAGGCAATGATTTGGTGTGCTTTTCTCGAAAACATTTTCGGTCGATTCCCTTTATGAATATTCTATTGCTTCATGGTCCGATCCTAGACAAGAGGCAGTAGTTCAGTTAATAATGATTGCTAAAGAGGGGCTAGTTAGGTTTATAATTGACGCGCTTTCATTATTAATCAGTCATCCGTTAGCTCCAAGACCCAGTGTGAATGATGTGCATTGAAGTCACCCAGATTAATGGGTCCTCAAAATAGAGTTAAGTGATTGATGGTATGTAACCTGATATGCAGCTTGAGCTGCGAGTAAAATATATTGATTAGGTCAAAGTGTGAATCGCCCGGCTTGACTTTATTTTAATTCCGTCCATTTCAATATATAGAGGCACTTAGCATAGTAGTAAGGCGTGCACTTCGAAATCGTCAGATCGTGTATTCGATCCCATGCCATGGCTATGATAGTGTGAGGACGAGCTCTCACTTGACCTTTAGCTTCAGGTCTACCACAGCCTGAACAATTTCGGCTGCAATAGTGGTACCACGTGAAAGTTCTAGACGCAAAAAAAACGGTCCTGAGTCGCAAAACAATAGCTTCGTTCACCAAAATAACGGTCTGGAATGTGGTGAGATAATACAAATGGACTATCCTCGACAAGATTGTTAAGGCCTACTGATAGCGATTCTCAGATAGATCCTTTGCGATTCGCAGGAACTACATTCCATCATTAAAATATTTAGGTAATTCGTTTCTGCTGTTAAATATTGGCTTAAAACTTTTGATATTTAACCAGGACTGCTTAACTGCCACTTTTCTTTTTAGATAAATGTCAATTTTTGATAATTAAAAGGAAGGCTGGGGTGGTGTAGATATTGAAATGGTTGTAAGGCTCAAACAAAACGTGGAGCAGACGCAGATCGCGGTTGCTTTCTACACCGGCTTTGATGCTCATGGTTCCGTTAATTGTACCACGAGGATCGTAAACGAACGAAGTGGCTGGTTTTACCCGTTCCTACTGCAAAATCAAGAGTTGGCGGAGCATCACTAATTGCCTTCAAACTATCTAATAATAAAACTATGTAAATCAACCGGGTCGTCCAGAGAGCAAAATTATATACAAAGACACAGAGACAAATCTTCGCTTCGCAAACACTAGAAAGAACACAAAAAGCAGCTCTATAAGATGCAATAAGAAAAAATAGAAATAAGCCTCGAATTAGTAGAAATTCGTCTGCGTCACGGATTTGATCTTCAAACTAGAGACTATAACTCACGCACTAACCACTCAGCCACGGACTCTTAATAGGTCACAAACACTAGCCGCAAATAAATCAGAGAACAGATGCTATGAAATTTCCAATGCTAAAAATCGTGATTATAGCAAAAGTGCCACTAAATAAGTGAACACTTATATTTGCGAGTTACGTTAGAAAAAGAGAAGGTTCGTACTAATACACTACGCTTCGCACGCTCGCAAGTCCAAAGAACCACTCACTCTTAATTGTTCCTGCATTCAGAGTCTCTTCAGCAACCTAACAGTCCGAAATATGGACGATAGACCCTCACTTCGATTTAAAATGGTCTCAACAACAAGGACTCTGGCGAAATTCATACCTGGTTAAAACTACAAAACGAGTACATACCAACCCAGCTGAGGCGACCAAAAAGGAGCCTAGCTAAACAACAAGTACAAAATGTACACATTGTATAGATTATACAGATATGACGTCGTGAGTTATATCATTAGTTGGACGTTGTACAACATCCTGGACGAGATGGGGCTACCCGAATGCTGATTGCACGGAAATTTTGATCGCTACCCGGCAAGAGCAATCAAACCCGTTTTTTCGTTTGATTCGAAAACTCCCACGAACTTGGCTCAACACAAATATTGAAAACACAAATAAAGGAAAGTAACCTAATGATTACGATATGTAAACAGTAAGACAAAGTAAATGACAAAACAATTAGTTTCAAAAATCTTCCGTCAGGTTCTTATCACGTCGCATTTAATCTAGGTCTTGACAAAAATACGACTCTGAATTGAGTCCATCTAGAAGGTTCAAATCTCCATAACTACTGAGTTTCAGATCTTCGTAACCGAAACGCTACGATAGCCGACAGCATACAACTGCTTTTCATACTTGAAACAACCGTTAATTGAAAAGCGCTTATTGAAACAACCGTTAATTGAAAAGCGCTTATTTGCGTTTAATTTCCAAAAGAAGATAGAAAGGTCATAACTAAGAAAACAAAAGGCGCTGAGCGGTAACAACTGGGGTCCAGACAAACATCCTGAGAGTATCTTGAGAGCACCTGGCCATATTGTTGAGTATTTCGAACTTGGAAATTATTTTAGATATCAAATTTTTATAAAATTTTTGAAAAAGCAGAAAAAATGTTATGTCTCAGAAGCCAAGATTATTTAAGCAATCAATCTTTGAGGCATGATCTGCAACCTCTGAGAGTACCCAGAAAACAACCCTCTGTAGGATTAGAAATTTCAAACTTTGAAAAGTTTTTTTAATTCAAGTGTTTTTTTTTTTAATTTGGAAAAAATTTTAAAAAAGTCATATCTCTGAAACCCAAAATATTTGACCAGTCACCTTCGGAGGCAAGATTTTCAACCTGTGAGAGTACCTAGAAAGCATCTGTTGGCAACTTCAAATCATGTGAAACTTTTTAATTCTAACTTTTCTGAAAATTTCTGAAAGAATCATAACAATGTCTCGGAACATAAAAAGATTTGAGCAGTCAAACTTCGATGCAAGATTTGCTATGACTGAGAGTTTCCTGACAGCCCCTCACACTATAGAGTTGAGAATTTCAAATTTTGTTAAGTTTTATATCTAAGTTAATTGAAATTTTTTTCAAAATCTTAAAAACGTCAAATCTCGGAAACTAAAAATTTTAGAGCAGTTATACTTTGATGCAAGATTAGAAAACCTTGAGAGAACTATTCAGCCACCAGTCTCAAAGTTGAGAATTTCAAATTTTGTCAAGGATTTATATAATTTCGTTGAAAACTTTTTAAAAAAACAGGGAAAAAAGTCATATTTCGGAAACTAAAAGGATTTGAGCAGTCACATTTGGAAGCAAAATTTGCAACGACTGAGAGTACCATGACAGCACCTCACACTATAGAGTGAAGAATTTCAAATTTTGTTAAGTTTTATTACTAAGTTAATTAAATTTTTTGAAAAAAAAAATCATTAAAAACGTCATATCTCGGAAACTAAAAAGATTCGAGCGGTAAATTTTTGAGGCAAGATTTGCATCCCCTGAGAGTACCTTGACAGCAGCCTACTACAGGATTGAGAATTTCAATTTATGTGAAAGCTTTAAATCTAAGTTTTCAGAAAATTTTCGAAAATGTCACAAGAATCTTCAAATCTCGAAAACTGAAAAAGATTTGGGTGTTCATATTTGGACTAATTTGCCCTAGACTGACAGCATCCCACTTTTAGCTGACTAATTTCAGAGTTGACAAAAAAAAACACTGAATTCAAGGTGGAAAATTAAAAAATATATAACCATTGCAATATACGATATAGCTTAAACGTGCAAAAATTCTTTCGTTAAACATGCAAAAATAATACGTTGAATAAGCTTAAACATGACGAGATAGTGAAGCCCGCATTTAAATATATAATAGATACCAATCATAAGACACACTTTCTTTCTCAAAATAAATTGAAACTTAATTATTGAGGCTTCATAATTTTCTGACTGAAAAACTGCTCACTAGCAAAAAGTAGTTACCGATCATATCTTTTGCGAAATTAATTGAAATTGAACAAAAACGAACGCGTAATCCTTTACTTAAATCTCTGCATCTGCCTAGTTGAGATACTTATTATTCCATCAAATTTTAAAACTAGAACACTTACTTTCAAACTGAAAACGTATTGCAATCGGCAGCAGATGATTAAAATCAAGAATAACAGAGCAGCCCAATCAATAAGATAAAAATTAACGAAGGTGTTGCTTGGTCCAGTGGGAAGCCACCAAACGGTTTTATAAATATTCAAATACACCAGAGCCAAGTTCAGAAAGAGAAACAAGCAAAATAGTATTTCGAATGAAATCTGTCCATCACTGAACGAATCCAGTGTCTGTACGTGTTTGACACGGAAATCTCTCACGGACGTGCTTTGTCGGACTTGTGGCTTCATAACGCTTCATTTTTTTCTCGTTCAGGAAGAATCATTTCAATCAACCTGAAAAACGAAGTTAAAATTAAGGTATTGGATCTACCCAAGCAATTAAACCCCAAATGAACATTTGTCCTAAATCTAATGTTCTCATCAGGCCAAAAAAATTGTTTGCCACTTGACCGAAGTATTTTTTTAATTCTTTTTGGTGCTGAAATTATAAAAGATTGTGACATTCGACCAGAATGGACGAAAATGCACATTCGGCAATTTCGAATTATTAGCAGCTAACCTTCCGAATTAGCAGTTTTGAAGGATTAGCAGTGTTATTCGAACGATTAGCAAAACTGTGAAGGCTGGAATATTCTGTTATTTCAATTTTTTAAAATTTCGAAGTTGTAACAGTCGCCTACTTCGGTCACATATGAGGCTTAAGAAAAATAGGCCCTATAACCATTGGCTCTAGAGTCAGTGACACGATCTCTTGTGTTTTTCTACCTCAAAAACGGTCGGAGCCAATTCGGTTCGCTTGCGACATGAGACTAGAACCCGTTACAGCTTAAAGGCCACTACCAAAAAACCCCCCACTCTAGAAAATAAGAACGTCCCCATAATTAGGTCTCAAAATACCCAAAATACACGAACGCCGTTAAAAACAGGGTTGGAACAATCCGTTAAGTTACTTTTTATTGGACAGTGGAACTTTGATCCATTTCAGATGGATCAACCTAAATTTTCGCCTCACCTCAACATACTTATTACAAAATGCACTCAAGAAAACTAAATTTGGTACTTACATAGCAGCACGCTTGAGAAACAGAGTAATTAAACTAATTAATGACTCTAGTATAAATATAATCGAATATAACTCAAGAAGTTTTCTAACGATGAGTTCCAATCAAAGGAAAAAAATTTTAATTCAAGAATGTAGTTTTGGATCAGGACCATTGGAGGACTTCACTTTTCTGCCTTTCCGTTGAAGGTTCACTCTGGTCCAGTTGATTCTTGCTCTGCTCTTGTATTTGTTTGGTCTCCTATATCAGAAAGGACAGCTCTACTCTAGTTTTCTACGATGGAAATTGCGAATAACAATTTCCCACTGTGTATATTTGACAACTTTCCCGCAAATGATATTCGCTTGTTCTGATTTTATTTTTGATTTTTTCAGCTGTCGCGAGAAAACTGAGCATGACAGCCTCTATTCGAATTTTTGAAAAACCAAATTTCATTCCAAAACCACGTATTTTTGTGTTCCTCAAGGTCAAACTTCCAGATATGACCGACTGGCACATACTCCCCGGACTCAAGATCGATGTCCTCATCGCGTGCTGCCGTCTGTCAGTGAATCCCCAGAAACCCGAGTGTTACTCAAGATACAGTGCCAGTGGTCATTTACATAAGTTTGCAGCAGACTTAAGTTTGTCTACACCCCAAAATTCACAACCATGTAAAATTTTCACACTATCGCTAAACAGCAATCGAAATCTGCACACACCTGCACTTGTGAATTTTTGCTTTTTAAGCTAGTAATATAAAATTTCTTTTGTCCTATTCAATCAGGAAATTGTCATGCAGCATTTTGATTCATATAATAGATATAACATATTAATGACAATATCTCATTTGTTAAAATTTCTTTTTCGTGAACCTAGATTTCATCCAAGTTCACCCTCGAGCCCCTTTCCTTCCCTCTCAGGACTCAAGACTCTAGAATCCCCATTGAGCCACCTGCTCACCTCGCGTTCTTCGCCTTCGAGGTACCAGACCCAGATGTATTTGACACCGTCATCTGCTTCAACAGTGCCTTTTCGTCATCGGAGCTAATCACGATCTCTTCCCAGGCTTTCAGCTGTTCATAGGACCGCATCCATTCCCTTTGCTCCTGCAATCTCTTCGCTTGATTGGGCAAACTCTTCACCCTCGACTCTCGGTTCAAACAGAAGGAATTGTGCAGACTCAGGCTCACGTTCTTCGCCAAGTCTTCCTCTAGTATCGACTCTCTCGCCTTGGTGTTGTTTCTGGACACTCTACCAACTTTTTTCCAACCCGTCGTGATCGCATTTCGATGGGCCAGCAGAGGTCTCTTGAAAGCCTCCGGCCCTATCTCGGCCTGGAACTGTCGATATTCCTTCTGATATTACCTCATATGATCCTTCGTTATCATGTATATCCAGGACGTCAACGTCGCTCGAAACCAAGGAAAGAACCTTAAGCGGCTCCATACGTGTCTGACTTCCATTGGTATGGCAAATACCTTGCATGCAGTCTCAAACAACTCGAGTCTCCTGCTGTAATCTGTCGCGTAAATTGACTCTGCCGTCGGCGTCTTCGATTCCCGATACTTCGTTACATTTTCTTCAATCCATCGTAGAGCCAGCATCGTGCTCACCACCAAGATGGTCACCTTCTGCTGATGATCGGGCAGTCCTATCGACCTGATTTCTTCAACATCCCAGATCAGGCAGAGATTCGCGTGATCCGGGTACCACATTTTTTGTGCCAGACAATGGCATGGACATTCCCCATTTGTGAGGTCAATGCTCCTAAGGTTGCGTTCTCCCGAGGCTTCTAGGATAGGCTCAAGTTCCATCATCTTCTCGTGTATCGCGTCGTTCTCCTCCATGTTTGGAGCACCACCCATAGGTTTCCCGATCACGTTTTGTCTCTCGTGGTCACTTGTGTTTTCACCTTCCAAACCCAAAAGTTCTTCCCCCCAGATTTCACTCAAGTCGTCCCTCTGTTCTTTCGGCACTGTCCCTTGGATTTTCCTCAACAGCTTGTGTGAGTGATGCGAAATCCGAGCCAGTCTTACGCACTTGGGCACTGAGAAGGCCTTGTCTATCAGTACCCTTTGGCTTGATACCTCCACCATCGCCATGTGCAATGGATATTGGCTGCCACATAGGTTGACCATCACTGACCGCACTAAGGACTTCGCTTTTAGAGGCAGACCATAGGCTTCGCTCATGGGAAATCCCATTTCCGCTTCAAGTCCAACCTTCCAGCTCTTGATGTGTTTCTGAGTTACCTGCAAAACCCCGGGCCATGACTCCACACTCAACGCGGTCACTGGTGTTCTGACTCTTGCCTCTCCAGTGACTGGAGACTGCACATTCTCGAGAAGAATCCCAGAGCTGCTGCTAGATTTACCGTGGTACTCGCGTAACACTCAGCCACTATCTGTATCTCACTTTTCTCCCTTTCGGTGATATCTTCAAACCAGGTGACTAGGTCTTCTTTCTGGAAAGACTGTATCCTGACGCACGATCGTCCATCACAGGTGTGCTCGCCATTTCCACACTACGAGTCAAGGCAACTGCCCGGCTCCATTTTCTTCACCGACCCTAGTTTGCTCGTCGCTTCACTTGACTCCTTCGCCTGAGGCAGGATCAGTCTGTGCACTATGCTCAATGTCGCCAGATCTTCGTCCTCCGCTGGTGCTAATCTCACTCGCTCCGTGACTTCCTCGATCAAGCTCGCATGGGGATGTGGACACCAGGAGGGCCTCATCAACTTCCACACCACTCCCAGGTTCGTGACCAACATGCCATTCCCGTTACCCATCTTCAGTTCGACTCTTTTACTTGAGCGTGGCACACTTATCACCTCTGGTGTCTTCTCGAGAATCAAAACCAAACTAGGTCTCTCTCTCTCTCTACAGTGTCTATTTCCACTATCTTCTCTGTCCAGAACTTTAGTAGCTCCGCCACCTCGTAGTTTCTGTGAACGCCTCCGGCTTCCGAGTCCAGGAAAGGGTTGTACGCCAACCCCATCACTCCAGACACATACTGGTATTCTCCCTTCTTATTGGTTTTCAAGTAATCTCCTGACGAGGCCAAGTTACGGTGCACGTCGTGTTTCTCCTCGAACTTCTTGTTGTAGAATCTCCGTATCTCATCTAACTTCCTGTGGCTCTCTAGAGACTGCCTGGAACCATCCTCCTTTTCTATCCCAGTACTCTGGTATACATTCAAGATCACTGCTGAGACTCTCCTTTCCATTGCTTTGCTCCCAATTGCTCTTTGCTGGCATGCTAGGATGGTGCTGTCAGTCATCACCGACATTATCCACCTCAAGAAACAAGTAGCGTCTCTCCTCCTTGCCAGGCTCAAGCCTGACTTATCCCTAGCAACGTGTTGCATCAATGTCTGATATATTTCTAGACTTTTTCTACCCAATTTCAACTTGTCGTGCGAGGTCAGCGTTTCCAACTCTATTCCCACCAGGCTCCACGCGAACATCAATTGCCCTGCTGTTCTAACAAAAGGATTTGCCATCAATGGCGACGCCGATGAGGATGTCCTCATTGCTTCTTCAAAATGATCCCTCAACAAGTTCTGCCAAGTTCTCCTCAGATGGCTCCCCAATTCCAATTTGTTAATCTCAGCCTTCTGCTGAGTAGCCCAGTTGCGTCGTTTGCGTTACACTCCACTGTCGAGCTTCTTTAGGCAGTCATCCAATTCCTTCAATGTTTCCAGGGCCACCCACCAAGGTCGGGAGGTGTTCCTCGTTTAATTCTTCTCGAGAGGATCGCTAGTTACTTGCTTCCCAGTGGTCTGATGTTCATTTGAGACCCATTCTTTGGCGACGTCCACTTCCCATGTCTGCCCGCTCGTCGAACCTCGTTTCATCATCGTCCTCTGAGGATTGAAGTCTTCTTCCGTTGTCGAGTTGGTGGGAACCTCCATCTCTCTTTCTACCTCGAGCAGTCTACTTGGTTCGTAGCTACTCTTGTAGGCTGCTGTCTTCCATCGTACCAGAACCATGGGGGCCGTCTATCTCAAGTTTTTCTCCGAGACTGCATCCGCCGAAAGACTACCCCACCCTTCTGCCTCTCTCTTTCTCTTGCGAGACTTCACATCTTTACTTGGGGGGCGTTGCCGTTATCATCACTGCTTCGACCTCTTTGTCACCATCCAACCCTTCCAACTCTTGCCTCCCCCTGCTCGAGCCTTAAGGATATTAGTACTTTTAATTATATTACTAGTTTCGACTTTATCCCCCCTTACACTTTCAATTATTATATTGACAGTTTTTTGTTTCAGAGTAGAGCTGTCTTTAC